CCCTGCCCCCAGCTTCTGTTCCTTGCCCCTGGTCCTAGCTCCTGTTACTAGCTTCTGTCCCATCTCTTTTCATTGGGTCAACAGTAAGATGAGTATCAAATGAAGAAAAAACTATACTTCCCTGCAAATGTAAAACAACATGTTGCATGTTACAAGGTGGCTCTGGTTATTTTAGGCTTTCTTTATGGAGTCACTGAGGAATGCACTGCATCCAGAAAGTATTTACAAAAAAGTATTTATTTGTGCTTGATGGGCATCTTCCTGGAATATTTCCCACTGAACAAAAATTGGTAGTAAATTGGTCCAAAGACATTTACATTTGGTTGAAATGTGAAAGGTGAAAAGCCGTAAGTTTCAGATGGTTGAAAAGACGCTGAAAACTGGACTTGCAACGTCTTTCCAAAACTGGTAGTTGGTTCCATAGGAGAGGAACCAATTGACTATGGGGTTCTTGGTCTCCCCCCTGACGAAGGTCCTTCTCCAATCGTTTATTTTAGACACTGATCCCCTCTAGGAAGAAACCTGGTGGTTCACTGGGCTAATTGGGACCTTCAAACATTTTCTCCTTTCCTGGATTCTTGCCTGTATCCCATTCTGCCTCTATGAGGTCTACAGATGGCTCTAACTTCCTGCTTGGCGTTTCCTCTGACATCCCTGTCTGACCCCATATAGCCCTTCCTAATCAGATCCAGCCAGCTGAGCTTACCACAGGTGGATCCATAAAAGCTGTAGAAAAAAGGAGTAAAAACAGGATGGAAATCATTTTTTTAAGAAAAAGCATATTTAGAGGAGGGAGAGCAACTCCAAAAAGATTAGAAACGTTGAAATGGTCACTGACATTATGATGTCACCTTTACTATTTCATCTAACATTTAGTCTTTTTCTACATCTCTCTCATTTTCCCATAATCTCTCCTTTCCTTTCATTTCTGTCTGTCTTTCCATCCACACCTGCCTCCTATTCCTACTTAGTTGATTTATGACCTTGGAGTGTCATTCCGGCTCATCATGTGGGTGTGGACAGGTATGGCCTGCACTGTCTTCCTCAACTGCTTCCTGAATTGGCCGGGTGAATCCTTCCCGGCACCAGAAGACATCAGATACACGTTAGTGTTCATTCCTCTAACTTGATGTTAATTAACTAAGCTACTCAACAGAACTGTTTACTTATAATTAATTAGGCAATCATTGTTCCCGTTTCAGAAAACAGTTTAAACCCAACATGGTTCTATTTCCATTTCCATTTCCATTTTATGTAATTTTCAGCTTTAGTGAAACGTACCATCAAATATTCCATTTACCATCTAATCACCCTCTAACCATTAGCTGTTATTTTGTCCCATTCTTCCTGTGACCACATTAAAATATCTCTAACAATATTATCGCACTTTGATTGTTTCTGCCTAGAAACAGACAATACTGCAGACAGGCAAGTCCAGCAGCTCACTTCATCTTCCTTATCTTTGAAAATATTGCTTTAAAATCAAGGCAGTAGTTCGCTGCATTCATGAGCAGACAATGTTGGATTTATTTACCTCAATAGGCCCTTGTTGCTTAGAGAATGTACCTTATATTACCTTGATCTAATCTCAATGAATTTTTTTCAGTGTCTCTAGATCAGACCCTTAGAGGCAACAAACAGGGAACTCAAAGAGAGGAAGTGTTTAGAGGAAGGACTCAAAGGAAAATGTTATTTTTTCCTTCCCTCTAAATGTCCTCTTGGCAGGCAGCCAAGAGGACTGGTTTTTCTAAGGGTCTGGTCCACAGACATTCATTTGAAGGAATCCACAGACAAACAAGAAGCAGGGGCCTCATAGACCTCTATTGTGTTTTAGTGATGTTGATCCGTGGAGCCGCCATCATGGGCGGGACTATCTAGCAGGCTCAGTAGATCACTGCATTCAGTCAATCACTACTGATTATTGGAATTTTCACACTTTTTGTGCTGCCAACCTTCCAGAAACAGCCACCAGCAGAAAACCATCCCACTCCAATAGCTTCAATAATGGAAGCTCCTGTCCATAGGTGAACACTCTTAGGTGCAGGAGAGAAATTATTTATCTCTAATTCACTGGAGCAAAGGAACGCTGAGAGAGGTGCTGATGGGCACAGGAAGCATAAGGTGGGCAGGTGTTCATTAAAGCAACTATGACGTCTGAGGCAAACGTTCTTCTGATTTCCACATTGCACCCTGGAGGGAGATTTTATCTACAATGGTTACAGCAACTCTGTTTTAACGTAGCACTTCACATCGTGTCACTTTTCCACAACACAGACTCAGAATATGCTGAACTTTATTTTTTCACTGTTGGTTCATAAACAAGCATATCCAGGTTTTAGAATGGCCTAGTCAAAGCCCAGACCTGAATTTATTCAAGAATCTGAGTAAAGAAATGTAAACTGCTAATCATAAACTCTCCATCCACTCTCCTCTCTCAAACTCTCCTCACAACCTCAGCTGTTTGCAGGAAAAATGGGCAAGAATTTCAGAATCTCAATGTGCAAAACTGATAGAGACATACCCCAAGTGACCTGCAGGTGGAATCGCAGTAAAAAGTGGCACTAAAAAGTATTAACTCAAGGGATCTGAATAATATTGCACAACATTTTTTTTTTTTTTTTTAATCTGATACAAGTTTAAAACTTCCAATAAATTTTGTTCCACTTCATGGTTGCATTCCACTTGTTTATTCTTGTAAGGTTTGCACTACAGATGCAGAATCTGGTGGAGAGTCAAAATGTTGCAGACTTAAAATGACCGATGAGGCCCAGAAAACACACCGAAAGAGAAAAAAACATCAGGCTGGATCCAAAAATTGTAGAACTCTGTTTTTATATATACACTGCTCAAAAAAATTAAAGGAACACTTTAAAAACATATCAGATCTCAATAGGGCAAAAAAAAAATCATGCTGTTTATTTCTACTGATATGGACTGGGTGATGTGTTAGAGCAAAATGATGCCACATCATTTGATGGAAATTAAAATTATCAACCTACAGAGGGCTGAATTCAAAGAAACCCCAAAAATTACAGTGAAAAAATGATGCAGCAGGCTAGTCCATTTTGCTGAAATTTCATTGTAGCAACTCAAAATGGTATTCAGTAATTTGTATGCCCCCCCACGTGCGTATATGCATGCCTGACAATGTCAGGGCATGCTCCTAATGAGACGACGGATGGCGTCCTGGGGCATCTCCTACCATATCTGGACCAGGGCATCACTGAGCTCCTGGACAATCTGAGGTGCAACCTGGCGGCGTGGGATGGATGGAAACATAATGTCCCAGAGGTGTTCTATTGGATTTGGGTCAGGCGAGCGTGGGGGCCAATCAGTGGTATCAATTCCTTCATCCTCCAATAACTGCC